GAACTTCTTAACATGGAAGGGCAAGATCTGATTTAACACAAAGCAAAACTGTTCCACAACTCGGGCAAGAACAGGAAGCTAAGCAAAGCGGCTCTGTGTGCGTGCTCCCGGGCACCCTCTGGAAGATCGCTGCCAGCCCACTTAGGGTCCTGTACAGGCCACAGGCTCACAAGGGCACTTACGTCCTTCGGGAGTCCTCAGGTTCACGAAGTCATTGGTGCCGTGCACCTTGCTTAGACACTGGACCTGCACTTTAACCTGATAGGTGGTGTCTGGCTTCAAGATCTTTAATACGGCGCTGGTTTTGTTGCTGTGGGTCTCCAGAGCCTTCCAGAGGCTCTCTCCAACCACCCTGGCCGAGGGACAAACGAGAGCATCAGTGCGCTGACGGAGCTGCCTGGCTCACTAGAGAGCCACACTAAGTGCACAAGAGCGTGTGACGGATCATCTGGCGGCATGGCCAGGCCGCTGTCTTCGGCCGCAGCAGACGAGACCCACCTGTAGTAGATGTTATAGACGCACAAAGCAGAAGGCATTCTTTTGGGCCGCATCCAGGTCAGAGTGATGTCCCCGGAGAAGTCAGCTGTCCACTGGAGATTCTGCACTTTGTACACAGTTAAGTCATCTGGAGGCAGAGAGCAGAAAAGCAGAAGACAGTTCTGTGACAAATACATGGATCACAAAGACACCCCCTCCCAAAGAGACCCCACCCCTGCTTTAAGCAAATAGTTACCCCGTGGGTTAGTGCTCCACGTCTCCCCAGCGCTATCTCCCCCGCCTCACGAAAGAAGGCAGCCCCTGAACCCACAGAGCACAGTTAGTTCTCCCCTGTGCCACACACGGGGCGCCAGCTGCCCGGTGCGCCTCCGAGGTTCACGCGCTCCAGACGCTGAGAGGCCACGGTCATCTCCAATGGAATCCCAATCAATAGGAGGCACGTCTTCAAAATTGTGGGAAAGGGGATTACAATAGAACAGCATTTTCCCGCAAACTTTTAAAAACTTCTTTGAAGATTTTCACTCACTTTTTCCTTGCATTCCACCCTGCCCGTGGCAAGGACAAGGCCCTTGTGAAACATGCTGTGGACAGCAGGGCTGAGCTAACCCTCCGGAGAGCTGCAGGCTGTGTGCGAGCCGTGGGCATTGGCTTAAGGTGGGAAGGGCACCTGACGCAAAGGCTAGCCCAGCATTCCACTCTCAGGATGATGCTGGCCAGCTGCCATCCCCTCAGTTCTGACGCCCAGCAACCCCTAGTGGTCAGAGGAGCACTGCAGACGGGGCTCCTAGGCCGCGGCTTTCAGAGGCAGATGCCAGGTCTGTCTGTTGAGTGAGGCTAGCTGGGAGTTATGGCAGCGCTGGGCCAACCCTGACTTCCACCGGTACTCTCACGCTGCGCAAGAGCCGGTCTCATTTTCAGAGGCAAGAAAAGCTGAGGAAATGAGTTCTAGAGAGGGGGCCCCCCCAGGGGGATTCAGAACAGGCCCCGGGGTAGCTGAGCAACAGTCCAGCCCAATACCCACCACTGCAGGCCCTCTCGTCGCTGCCGTCTGAGCAGTCCAGAAAGCCGTCACAGTGCTCAGACAGCACAATGCAGGTCTCGCCGTCCTCACACCTGAACTCCCCGCTCATACAGGTCAGCGTGCGCCGTGTGGCTGAAACACAAGAGTACACAGTGCTGAGTCCCAAGGCCGAATGCACAGCCAGAGCTGGTGCACCTATGCAATTCGGGAAGAAGCCCTGCATGCTAAGAATATTCAACACCAACAACTCGAATCTGGCGTGGGAAGAGTGGGAGCCCGGGAGTCAAACAAACTCAGGCTCACATTCTGGCTCTGTGTGAGCATCGGCACACTGCTTAATGCCCCCAAGGTTCAGCTCCTGTGGTAGTTACATAATCTGCTGTCAATTTGAGACTTATAAGAGTGAAGAGGTAGACTTTAGCCTATCAATCAGGTCACAGCTTGATGACCTCATTTAGAGGCGCTAAGGAGATAAATAGCTCTCTGGAGGCAGGGCACACACTCACTCCTTGTGAGACATTCCTGCGGACAAGACACATGGAGCTACGCTAGAGCCCTGGAGCTAAGGAGCCATGTGGAGACCCCTGCCAGTGCTGAGATACTTCTACCACCACTGAATCCCCAAGACTTTGCACCCACTGGCCTATGATCATCCTGCATTCAGCGTCATTGCACATGTTTCGTGAATCTGAGGAGGACTTGATAGATTGGTATCAGACATATGGGCTAATATCAGACTTAAGAATTTGATCTGGACTGGGCTGGGCTGTTTTCTCAATATTCAACTGCTCTTGTATATAAACGTCTCTTATACACATATCAGTGCCCATGAATTTGTTTCTCTAGTCTACCTGGACTAACACAGCATTTGACTGTGTAGATCAAAACAAATACAACAAACAAACATGGACAGCCTTGAGAAGAATGGGAATTCCAAAGGATCTTATCATGCTCAAGAGGAACCTGTACGTGGATCAAGGGGCAGGCTTACTAACAACCTGCAATATGCAGGTAAAACCACCTTACTCGCTGAAAGTGAGGAGGATTTGAAGCACTTGCTGATGAAGATCAAAGATTGATCTTTATGAATTACATTATGAATTACAACTCAATGTAAAGAAAACCAAAATCCTCACAACTAGACCATTTCTCAATGATCAATGGAGAAAAGATTGAAGTTGTAAAGAATCTTGTTTTGCTTGGATTCCCAATCGATGTAGTCATGAGATTGAATGTCACGCTGCATTAGGTAAATCTGCAGCACAAGGTCTCTTTAAAGTGCTGAAAGGAAAGGATGTTACTTTGAGGACGAGCTGTGCCTG